ATAATGGTGGCCACACAAAATATTGACACTTTGGGCCCAATTTGGACATTTTCACATAGGGGTGTATTCACTTTTGTTGCCAGCGGTTTAGACATTAATGGCTGTGTGATTATTTTGAGGGGACAACAAATTTACACTGTTATACCATCTGTACACTCACTACTTTACATTGTAGCAAAGTGTCATTTCTTCAGTGTTGTCACATGAAAAGATACAATCAAATATTTACAAATATGTGAGGGGTGTACTCACTTTTGTGAGATACTGTGCGTCAGAGAAAATCTCTTACATCTGTTCAATATTTGGAAACCTCGATCCACAAATGCACCTCGGATGATGATTGATACCGTGTTTGAGGTGGCTATAAATAACAGAGCACCTGGACAGAAAGGTGCAGCCGAAATCTGCTCAGACAGACTGGCACAGGTAGATGGATGGCAATGCAAGGGGCATTAATGAGAGCACAGGTCCGCCAACACCTGCGGATGAGAGCTCTGCAGATGGCTTGATTTCATCATTATATGGCAGTGCATATGTGTGTGCTTGTGTAACTATGTGAGAAAAAGATGGAAAGTGGCATTAGAGAGTGAATCTCATTTATCCTGATAATTATAGGAAGAATTTTGAGAATTATTTTAAACTTTTCATTTTAAAAACAGCAACATATCAGTGTGGGTCCGCTGGGAACTTTGATTTTACTCTTGTAGACAATAACGTAATCACAGTCCAGGTTGTCTGAATACACAGTCTCACAATGGAAAAACTTTTTCAGTACACGCACACACACTGGTGTGTTTCTGATTTAATGATATCAAACCAGTAGCACCAGATGAGCATCTATTTCTGTCCTCCTCTCTGATGGCGCCCAAAGTTTAATCATGATATATTTTGGTTTGCACAAGGTCTCTGCGCTGTGCTTAATGAGGAGACGAGGCAGATATTACAATTCCTTCGCTTCGATTCATCTGAATATACAGTTAAGAAATGAGCATAATATCTGCATCAAACACAGTGAGGTGTTTTTTTTGTTTTGTTTTTTTGCCATTCCACAATATAAGAGAAGAGTCAATTATGAGGTAGAAATTGTAGCTGACTTCTGCAGTCTTTAACAGGATGAAATGTGGAGGCAGGCAGATTCTCAATTTGGGACACCATGAGCTAAAATGGCACTTTTGCCAAGATGCCCTTTAGACACCTTAATAAGTTTGAATGAAATTAGGCAGAAAGGTAAAGCATTCATCTCATTCAGGCACAGGACTGACTGTCACAAAGGCGATCTCAGAGGCCATTAATGCACTGTTGCAAAAGAGTGTAATAGAAGGAGGTAGTAGGCTGTGTAGCTTTCTGGTTTTGTCTCGTGAGCTTGAACTTGATGGAAACAGTGTGACCAAACTGAAGCAGAGGCCAAAAAGAAATTCGAGTTCAATGGCTAAAGTGCTGGACAATAAATTAATACAAGCTGATACGCCTTTAGTTTGAAGGTGGCAGTCAACTTTGACTATTAGTCACAGTTTGCCCCCTGGAAACACCACTTAATGACTGGGTTGACTCCCCACTTCTTAAACACCCTCCCCTCTCTTTCGAATAACCTACATCACTTAAAAGTCATTTTCATACGTTCACTTTTTGAATCAGATACATAATGTGGGCAGGAAGGTTTCTATATTTTTCTGATACAATTCCCCTAAAACGCCTCTTTAGCGTTATCAGTATAAAAACGGAGTTGGCATTGCAGAATGCTAATTTGCAGACAGCCACATGCTTTGGCTGCAGTCAGGATGTGAGTAAACCCCTTGTTTAGGATTTGAAATATGCAAACACGATATTCTTTAAGTATGAAACAATTCTTATGAAAAATGAGCAATTAATATCAATAATGTGAGAGTATCCCTGTAATGTAAAGGGCAGTGACAGTTTCTGCTTAGTGATCATGCATTTGTAGTCAATCAAAGTTGTGCAGAATGTGTCACACTCTGCCGGACAGCCATTCTTTGTGTTGCACTTTTTAGTTACTATCTTCCTTATAGTATGTTGGGTTTTGGGGGTCTGTCTTGTCTGTCGTCTAGTGTTTGGTAACCCTTGTCATGTCTGTTACCCCAGTTATCCCTCTGCATGTCTGTCTCTGTTTTCCCCTGCTCTCTCTCCCTGCCTGTGCCTCATTAGCCTCATGTCTTTCACCTGTGTTGCTCCCGCCCTGCTCGTTAGTCCCTGTATGTATATATACCTGGTGTTTCTGTCTTGTCTTTGTTGGGTCATTGTATGTTGTCACCCTGTGTAGCAGTATGTCTCGTGTCTCCCTGTTACCCTGCTCAGTTTTGGATTCTGGTTTTCACCCTTTTGGATTTCTGTTGGACAGCCTTTGTTTTGGGACTCTGTCATCAGCCACTCAGTTTGTAAGTGTGCTCGCCTTTTGTTTGTTTATTAAAACCCCTTGAACTGTACCTCCTTTGCCTTGCGTCCTGCATTTGGGTCCTCCAACCTGCTCAACCCTGCCTCACCCACACCAAACCGTGACAGAATGCAACTGTAGGTATGTGTACAAAGTCTAAACATTTGCAAAAACCCTGACTTTAGCACAGCTTTCATGCTGATGTGACTTTGCCTCATTTGCAAGTATTTAAGTCCACATAAATTCACCAATTATCTCTGCAGACAGCTGCCTGACAGTGACGGTGATCGTCACAAACCCTGGATGCTTATTAATGCTTTCATCAATAGGCTTATGTCAGGCCTTAGGCCTTGGAGGTTTGGGGGGGGGGGGGGATTAGCACACTGCACTGCAGGTTAAACTGTTGTGGTTCCCCTGGACAGCCTCAGCCACCTAATTACAATCAGCACAGTCAGATGGCTTCACTTTCTCCAAAGTATCAATCTTCATTCCGGTGGCAAGTTTCCACAACAGAGCCAGATGCTTCCTCCGGGCGCAACGAGCAGCAGCGATTGGAAAATGTAAACAACACATCACTTGTCTGACGTTGGTCGTCCCCGGGCCTCCCGGTAAAGGAATTGCGCTCAGCTATGCTCCACAGAGCGCGTTAAGTGGGAAACTGGGTGGGGAAAGTAGGCCTATATCATGGAGGGATCATCACTGCGTCTGAAAATAGAGTTTATCAGCAACTAATGCTTATGGGTGTTTGAATTTGATCCGACTCACTATTTGTATTCGATCTGACCCTAAGACTTCTGAATGAGAGAGACGGAGAAAAAAAATCTAAATGACTTAATTTGTTTTAACTTAATTTATTATCGATTTCTGCCCAAGGTGTCCCTGTGATCTTAAAGCCACAGATAGGATCAGTTTATTTGCCTTGATGAGCTGCACCAAAACATCCCCCGATTGTCATTCCTGCCTGGCTGACAAACCTCGGATGAACTTTCTAACAGATGGCTGCGCTAAAGAACCTTGGCAATTATTTGAAGATCACTCTTTCATGCCTGGAGGGAATCAGCGAGGCTGCCACCAATCAAGGCGTAACTGCTCTCTACATAATTCAAAAGTCTTATTATAATTTGTCACATCCAAGATGGCCGGGCAATACATCTTTGCCTGAGTGAAATATGCGTTTTATTAATATGCTATTTGAAAAATTGTAGCTTGCTGTCTCGCCGCTAAGATGATCAGTAGGCAGGCGATTACTGTTCATTTCTTAAATGTGGTAAATTGTGGGGATATTTTGCAGGATGACCCTAGAAAATTTAAAGATTTGTTGCATGCTATAGGAAAACATGATTATGACGTGACTTTTAACAGGTGGTAGGCTACTTTAATAATATCTATGCATTGGAGAGGATATCGGAAGCTCAGACAGTGTGTCAAGGAGGCTATGACGTTATGCAACTACCTACCAGTGCATGGTGGAAAGTAGTAGGTAGGCATTTACTCAGTCCAAGTTTGAGGTTGGCTGCATGAGTATTCCCTTTTTCCGCCATTTTATACTTCAGCTCGACTACATTTCAGAAGGAATTTTTTTTAGTCCACTACATATATCTGACATCTTATCATCCTCGTTTTTAGTACCAGAACAGCAAGGTAAAAATACATTACTAAATTATAAGTTTTTTATTTTCACTTAAGCAAAAGTACATAAGTATTATCAGCAGACTCTGCTGTACTCAGTTTCAAAAATAAAAATTCATTTTGCAGTAAAATATCCCCTTTGTCCTGTGACTGATATGTTGTTATACAGTAGCCTATTACATTGGAGTAACAATGATGCAACAGTGTATAAGCAGAATTTTATTTTTGTGGCTGGTTAAGATGGTGCTAGTTTTACTGCTTAATATACTGTTGAGTACTTCAGTCAAGTGGTTCTCAACCTGGGGGTCGGGCTTTCAAATTGCACTTAAATACACCACTAAAGTAAATGTGCATAGTTACTTTCCAATTAAGATTTAAAACGTATAATCTTCTAAAATATAAAACACAACATGCACGAGGTTAAAGCAGTGGCTCCCAACCTTTTTGGCTCATGACCCATAATTATTTCAATAATCTAGTTTTATTGTCCCCAACAACAGTGACATGAAATATCTGCCCTTGACTGTTACAAATGTTTTGGGCCCCTTATCAGTTCAAAGAGTGATTTCCCATAACATTTCTCAAATGGTTTCACTTAAATAAGTTCCATTTTTAAATGAAATGTCGAATACATTGATATTGTTGAACCACAATATAGAGGTGTTAAAAAAAATTAAACTTTTTTTCCTTCTTTCGTGCCTCATTTAAATCTCATGACCCCTCAGATTTGTGTTGTGATCCTATGGAGGGGTCCAACCCCTAGGTTGGGAACCACAGAACCAAACTTCCCAACTATAAGTTAAAACTAGCTCCACTCTGACCAGCTGCAGCAGTAAAATGCTACTCACCCATTGATTCACTCATAATGGCTATTTTCCTGCAGAAGTACTTTTTTAATTTTCCAAACACATTTTGCAGAGAATATGTAGGCTACTTACCTCAGTAGGACTTTGAAGGCAGGCCTTTTACTTGTGATGGAGGAGTCAACATACTACTGGATTTTACACGGTTGTATAATTTTACTTCTAGGATCTGAATACTTAATTCTTCCACCTCTGTTCAACTACCCTTTAACTCTACAAATGCAGATAGCTGCTTCCACATCACACTTGAACGATCTGTGGCTGTTGACACAACCAGTCACATACGTGGCATTCACCCAGCAAAAATGTCATACTAATCCATTTTCAGAGTACTCAGCAGTCAAACTGTACTTTGTCTGCAGTATGCTTTCTCCCCGACAGCAATGTCATGCTGTGAGCGGGACCTCCAGTTCAGCTGCCAGCAGTGGAGGAGACGGGGAATGGAAGGAGGTGGACGAGGAGGAAGATCCACTCCCTCTCATTATCCTTTCTTCTCATGGCAGCTTCACTTGCCCTGTGAGTCAGCTGTCAATCACAGCCCAGGCATCAAGTCAGTGGGGAGCCCAGAATGTACGGTGCACTCATCAAATCTGCCAGCAGGCAGGTTGAAAACACCTATTGAGCCCAGTGCCACAGCCAGTTGCAATTAAAGTGCTGCTCTGCTGCGGAAAGAGGAAACGGGAGGCCACCTGAAGGTCAGTGGAAAACCCAATTACCAGCTTGTCGTATACTGTCAGCAAGAGTAATTCTTGGAAACAAAATAGCTCTGACTCACCTCTGCGCTAACTGCAGAGAGGATTGTGGGTGTTATCCCAAGAATAAAAACATTCAATTAGGTGAACGCAACTTTTGTTTTATTATTGTTGGGACAAACTAGAAAATGATGAAGGAAAAAAAAATCCCCAGGGTCCAGATTTGCACTAGGCCACAGCTCAGACCATGCAGTTTCATTTACAGAACTCTTAAATGGAATACAAAGGTTTCGATTAAACATTATAAAAATAGATCATTTACAAAAACATATCTACAGAGACAGTTCAGTGGCAGTAATGATTTGATTGATCGAAAAACAACATAAAAGAAAGACACTTCACAGTTTAAAGGTGAGAGCATATCACAATGCAGTCTTTGTGGCGGAAACTGTCGCTACACAGTAGTTTCATGTTTCCACAAGCCAGTCTTTATACTGGCTGCGCTCTCCGCGTTAATTAAAGGCACCAGCTGTCCATTTTCCTTTAGTGTGCCACCATTTTGAGTGACAAGGTTGAGTCCATATGACTTTGGTTGGCTTTCTAGCTCCGTGCTGCTGGGCTGCTTCACAGGACCGGAGTCTTTACTTGAGCTTGACGCCGAAGCAGTTGCCGCCGGCTCAGTCTCTACAGTAACCACTGCCCCGTTCCCCAGGGGGCCGCCACCTCCTTTGTCTGCGTAGCGGGAGCGGCGTGGCAGGCTCGCGCTGTCGCTGCTGTCCTGCTGCAGCTGGCTCTGGTGCCGCTCTCTGTAGGCCATGTAGGCTGCCCGGCGACTGTTGCGGGCCGCTACGTCGTAGTGGTGGTGCCGCCTGTGGGGGGCGCTCTGCACGCTGCCGTCCACGCTGGTGGGGACGTCGTAGGCGTACTCTCGCAGCACAGTTAGCCTACTCGCCCTGTGCGCTCGTGCTCTGTTCTTGTGGTGCCTACTCGTGTGTCCGTTGGTGGCAGCTATTGGGTTGTTGATGTTGTTCATCGGGCGGAACTGCACCTCAACTGGTGCTACGTGCATTTTAATTTCATTGTCAAGTGAGTGTTCAGTCAGGCTGTTGTCCAAAACACCTGCCCGATTGGCTGTCACCGGTGCAGATGCAGACTTGCACTGAGCTGCCTCTGCGTGCAGATTGGTCAGCTTGCTGCCATGGGCGGAGTTGCGCATGCTTGGGGCGCTCTTGTTTGTGTAAGATGAGTCTGCGCTGCTGTGGCCACACTTTGTTGACTCCCCATCTGCCTTGTCAGCAGATCCTGCCGTGGATGTCATTGCCACGCCTGGCTGAGGCAGAAGGACGTCCTCCTGTGCAGAGTAGGCTCGCCTCCCAGAGCAACAAGCCTGGGACCAGTAGCGCCTCATATCCTGCCTGTTGACACAGTGATGTGCCACCATGAACGCCGCCAGTGCCAGTGCGGCCACCCCAAACAGGCAGGTGAAAGCTAAGTCAAAGGGGTGGTCCTGTGATACAGCCATGGCCCCAAACACCCATAGGGCCGCGTATAGCCCCAACGCCCCTGCTGCACCCATCAGCTGAGCGGCGAAGGTGTGCTCGTTCTCCAGGGCTGAGAGTGGCACAGCGTGGTGGGCAGATGCTATGGAGGACGGCGCCTCGTGAGGCTGGAGCTGGAGAGTGAGTGGGTGGCAGTGGCTGCTGGGACCATCTGGCCCGGCCTCAGTGTGGTCTGAAGCCAGATGCTGATGCTCTTCGGTTGGCTCCTTGAGCTCATAACGGCGCTCAGGGTGGCGGCGCAACTGGAGTAGGATGCTGAGGAAGTACATGCAGTCCACAAAGACGATGAATCCCACTGGGCCATAAAAAGCCCCGATACTGGGCTCCCATGCCATCCAGCAACTAGAAGGAGAGACGGACAAGACCAATCAAATATTTCATTTTCCGTAAGATAACGGATGTGGCTTTCTTTTGTTATTATTATTATACAAGGGCATCTGAAAAACCAGTGAAAGGAAAAAAATAATAAAAATCTTTGAGCTGTACTCTTGATATAGTGAAAGTTTTTTTTCAGCACACCTGTTTGTCAGGTTTGGGAGAAAACCCATTTTCTGTAACAAGTAGGATGTACAAGCAATAATATTTTTACAAGAATTTAATTTGGATTTGAAACCCTATGGCAAAGCTTGATGAATGCCCAGACTTACAGGTGCAGCTCAAAAAAATGTGATCTTTCTTTAATTTTATTTTTTTTTAGATGCACCTGTATCAATATCATCTTTTAGCAATAACTAAATACACATGTACAATTAAATTAGACAGCACTTCTTAAAGGAAAACTGCCATCATCTTATTCTGCCACCGTCAATATTTACTTCAAAAAGTTAAAATGACTCTTTGAATAACTTCTATGTCTAATTTGTTACCGTAACTGTCCCATTACATTTAATAAAATGGGCTGCATTCATCTTACTTGCAAGAAATTAATTAAACTCCAAAGACTTCAGACAGATACCGGTCCAGATTTCTCAATTAGTCAGCCACATTGCACAATCTAAACAGCTGCCATTGTAGGGGAGGGAGGAGGGGTGTGGGGGCGCTCGCTGTAAACTGGCAGCAGTTGCTTGTTGCTTGGATGCACACACCATTAATAGGCATCCATAATCAGAACTTCAGGGAATAAACTTTTCCTACCCTCATAAAAATATCCATTATTTAGTAAAGCAATGCGGTCTGGCCGGTCGATAACTAAAGCAAACTCCTCCTGAGGACAGAATGTAAAAGCTCTCGGAGGGCTTGGACGCTCCTTCATTAAATGCTGCTGTCCAGATAAAATGACACAGCATTACCAGCAGCACATACTGAGGCATAGGAACTTTAATTGCTTTCTATACAGGGACTACTTACTATGGTGCATTGATCCGGCTACCGTAGTTCTTGATGTTAGCTGCTGCAGTGATCCCGCAGACAATGATGGGTATCCCTCCGCCGATTAAGTAGAACCTTTGGGAGAAAGCAAAGAGAGGTAGTTCTGATTTAGTCTTTCTGTTTGTAGGGCATGAACTGGACGCAGAGATTCCAGTGGTGTTTCAGACCTCTATGCTGACACCATGTGGCAGTTTCACCAACAAACATGAGCTCAATGATGAAATATGCCCTTTCTCTCTTCAGAAATGGACATCAAGTAAATGTATTCCATGTATATAAACCTAGCATGTCATTTTTAACTCTACAGCCATCTTAAGCTTGGTTCACAAACGTTGCCTACTAAGGAAGAAAAGGGATCACACACACTACCTGATTATGAAACATTTAAAAAAAAATCTATTTGTTTTGAACAGTAAGTGTAGTTTATTTGCTGGGGCAAGATTAAAGAGAATTTTGTGTCAGACTGGGTGTGTTGGAAAAGAAACAGACAGCACATCACAAGTTAGACTCTCATTTTGGGTTTGTTCTCTTCTTCATTCCAGACGGTGAGAGGCAGATATAGCAGCTAGTTCGCACTGGGAGAAAGCTGTAATTAACACCACTAGATCTCATCCCCTTGGTAGTGTATTATATTAAGCGTCACAGTATGGCATGCTTGGTGAACATTAAAGTGCCTGCATTGTAATGACTTTACGTGTCAGCAGCAGTGTAAGTTATTCCTGTAGTTACCCAACGCTGCCCCTTGGATGTGCTAACATGTAAAGTGGTCTTGCCCTGCAAAGAAAATGCAACCCAGATGCATCACTTTTGCCACGCAGCAGCTGCTGTAATCTAGGAGCTGCGGTGTCATACCTCAGCATAGGCCGCGGAGGTGGAGGTTCGTCCAGCTCTTCATAACGCTTGGCCTTGCGTGTCACTTGTTTGTAAATGTTGCGTGCGGTCACGCCCACCCACAGAGCGGTAGCCAGGGTGGAATAGTGCAGCAAGATGCCCACCTAGAAGAGATTCCACCATTAAAAAGACACCGTGTGAGATACATCGAGAGTGGTTTAAATAAATAAACAAAAAGTTTCAGCCAGGTACTCTGTGCAATGAAAAATTAATAAGTAATGTGTCTCAGTACAACACAGCATGAGGGGAGGTGCAGGGTTGCCTCTAGCCATGGAAACGATCTACTGTATTTTTCTAAGCATCTTTTACTGTGTTTCCACACGTTTTATGAGCGGAGTGAACTTGGCCAAAGGCAACTCTTTTCCTTAAAACAGACCTGGGACTTCTGTTCATTTCTGACTGGCACAGTAGGAGTGTTGGAGCTGTGAAGGGTGGTGTTTACTCACTGCTTGGCAGACGCTTGCGTATCGCGTCTGATTTATGCCGCCTACGAAGACCCCGCACGTGAGGGAGATGTGGAAGCAGAGGTTGACCAGCATGTGCCAAAACTTGCGGCTCACACGGACAGACCTGGAGTCACAGAAACGAACAGCAGGATTAAAACGGGGAAAAGGTCTGTTGTGCAGGCTTTTCTACTAATTGTTTATGTTAACACTGATCTGGGTGTTGTTTTGTCTCAAGAAAAAGAAGAGACTGTAGTCTGTTGAGCAGAAATGACTAGAGGCTTGAGGTAAAACCAGGTCATCTCTTACCTGTGATGGTAGATGTAACTGATGATAATGATGAGCAGGCAGAGAAGGAGTATGATAGTGGTGGCGTAGATGACTGGGTGCAGGGGCTGGATCCTTGGAGAGAAATATTCCACACTGCTGAGGTCCTGAATGACAGACGAGGTGATAAATTTAGGTAAAATTCTTCTGTCTTGTCACTACATGTCATAACCCAAAAGTTATAGTGCTTATTGACAACTACAGAGTGCCAGACAAAAAGCACACTGTGCTCTGCTGCAGTATATTTTCCTGATTCAGTGTGAACCTTTAGCAGACATGGCAATATTTCCTAACAGCCACTAGAGGGCCAATCAGCCAAATGAATAAAAGACAGTCTCTCTCTCTCATATCTATATCTCTCACTCTCTCACACACACACACACACACACACACACACACCCCTAATGATCACTGGGAAAACATCACCTCAGACTAGGTCAATCTTCTTTCTATTTCATACTACCATCACCCAACCTACCATCAGCAGGCCGTAGTTGCCAAGGGAGTTGCAGGATATGGTGGTGAAGTTGTCATGGTGGCCAAGGATGCGACAGCTGTCGCTCTGCCATCCCCCGTGGCCTCCTGCCAGGCTGAAGTTCCAGCAGGCGGACACAGCGTCAGAGCCACGGGCAAACCGCCGCAGGGTGACATTAACGGGCGTACTCAGGATGTGGGAGGACATGCCGTCTGATGGGAAACATAGACAGTGGTATCAGAGAAGACACAATCAGTTTTCATTTAGTGTGTGAGAGATTTCTCCTCTCTACTTACAACTCTAAACAACAACATATTAAACACGACTATACAAACATATTATGACTCACCTATCTTGGCCATGATGACAGGGGTGGCCACACTCCTCCTCTTCCCACCATCAGCCAGTTGGGAGGAGTTGCCAGTGGAGGGAAAAAATTTGCCATTGCGGAAGCCCAATAGATGGAGCTTGTAGACCGTGTCCTCGGCCTGGGTAAAGAGAGACTGAGGAAGCTGCAGGGAAGCCTCCACAATGGTGCTCTACAGGGACAAAAAATGCATTTTTTTTAACAATCAATGTTTTGGAGGATTTCCTTTTATGTGCTTACAAGCTGCAGTCAGCAAAACAATCTGCAAACAGATTTTAATTATCTCGGGTGGGAGCTGACCTTGTGAAGGATACTGGGGAAGGAGCTGGTTGTGTTGCACTTGAAGGTAAGTTGACGGTCCTGCAGCGTGCAGGTCATGCCGTTCCAGTCGTTGGCCCTGACAATGTGAATCTCCAGTGCTATGTTAGGGGATGTCTGGAAGGACAACAGGAATAGCAAAATGTGACTCAATTCATTGTAAAAATGTTACAATGCAACATGATACCATATTTTAGGCACAGTCTGCTATTTTGGTTCATGTAGGTGCAGAAGCACAAAGTGTGAAAGAAACAAACACTGATGAAGCCATTTACACAACCACATCAATGTGACGCTATTTCGGTTTTAATGCAACTGTTTCTCACGGCATAATGTAAAACGTGACACAACCACAAAACTTTATGTATGACAGGAATATATATGAAAGGCCACTTTTTGCTAAGAAGAAAATTGGAATGGAGGCTGTGATGCACAGGATTGATGAGCGGCTGTAATCTGGCGTGTCTCCTGCATAGACAGCAGAATACAAAGTCATAGGCAGGAATTTAATGGACTGAAGGTGAAGCTTGCAATGCAGACTGCTTTTAGCAGCATTCCTGCTTTAAACACAATAAATGTTCATTTTTATGCAGATTCTTGCTTATGGTTTATTTACATTTTAAGCATGTTGTGTTTGCGTTGTGCATTTCCTCCAAGTATTTAGTTTTCTCTTGTTGATGAAATCAATGTGGCGTCACACTGACATTGCACCATGAACAGATGTAGTTCTGAGATGTCCATTCTCATTTTAATGAACCTCCCACCTGTTTGTGCCTCTCTTCCACTGTGCAACAAAGTACTATACAAAGCAAATTTCAAGGTCGGGAAAAAACCAAACCGTCTGAGCGCTGCTGCCACAAAAATAGGGCCCATAGTGTTGTTGAGGGGACTAACCAGGGAGAAGGCCTGTGCTTTGGCCAGACGGTAGACAGCAATCTTCTGGAGGCAGGCGATGATGCGGGAGCAGGCCATGGCTTCACGCTGAGCCATCCACAGCACCCTCTCATCGGCCAGCATCAAGTTACTGGCCATGCTTACCATCACCCCGCCCAGCTGGGAGACAAGACATTGACATGAGTGAATACACACATAGATGCATTCAACTTTCATGATCCAAAAACATTGACTTGCTACATGGAGCAGCAGCAGCTCATCATCTAAATTACTTGAGTGGAAACATGAGAAGTGAATACGTTCAGACAGCATCTTGTTTAAATCAAACAGCAACTAAACATATGCTTGACTCGCTGTAGCTAAGTGACTATTAGGAACAGATTTCAAGCATAGTGTCGCCCAACTAAACTTTAATATGCTGAAAAACTGGAGTGCTCTCTGCCTACAGCAGATGCAACATGCTAGGAGCACCTTCGAAAACGTTTCCTTTTGTTGGCCCAGAGCTGTGCCGAAAGTCACTACAAGACATCCTTTCTCATTAAACAACATGACAACAAACAGCTGTTGAGCATTAATCTATTTGTCCTTGAAAGGGGTAATACACCAAAAGCATGCATCACATTCAACTGCTTGTGAAAAGGACTTAATTTGCTACTATAGAACTTACATCTTTAAACTTCTCAACAAACTTGCCAATCTTCTCGATCATCTCAGCCACAAAGATAATGTCCATCTTGTCCGCGAAGTTGGCAGCGTCATTTGTGCAGACCAACAGGCGCTGAGCCCTGGCCACCACACTGCTCTCATTCAGAGGCATCTAGGGGGACGATACAGAGAGAGAAAATGAGCCTGTATCTGACTTGAAATGGTCCTAGCAAGGCAGGATGGGTAGAAGGGATAAGAGGAACTCAGAAGAGGGAATTAACATAGAAACAGAGAAAGAAAAGACAGTGAATGAGGTTACAGCGCTGAAAAAAACAAAACAAACAAAAAAAAAACTACACACAAAAACAATCTCACCAACCAAATACAGACCTGGTTGATGACATGCAGAAATCTTGTGACATCTTTCTGGAACTGGCAGCGGGTGTAGTCATCCTCCGCCCACAGCCCCTCGCGATCACAGTAGCGCCACGCCCGCTGCTCTTCCCCCGGGCTGCCCGAGTAGGTGCCTGCGCTCGATGGTAGTCTGTTGCAGGGGAGGTAGGCTCTGATCCCTGCCAGGGTGCGCGGCCACCTGGAAGGACCCAGAAAAATCAGTCCTGCTGAGGTAGTGTATACGTTTAACCACAAGGGGGAGCCACAGTGCTTGACATCACTGCATACTGTACATGTTGTACTTCAAATATATTTGTTCATACTTTCAGAAGGGATCTGTGTACACATTTAAACCCACATTATTATTTATGAATACCTGTTTGCTAATAGAATTCCGTTTCGAAAAAATGCCTAATAAGCCATTACAAGCAAAAATAACCAGCTATTTGTTGCGTGTGCACTAACCTGAACTCTCCCTTGTTGTTGGAGACGCGTTCAGGCGCACAGTACTTAGCAGAACTTTCCAACACCACAATACTGACAGTCCTGGTGGTGTTGCCCCTGCTTGTCCTGACCCGGCACTCCCAGTTCCCAGTGAAACCAGGCTGAATGTTTGAGATGGTCAATGCGCTGATGGGGACACGTGAAGGAGAAATCAGAGAAACTTCTGATACTGACAGATGATGCTTTTTTTGTTTATCTTAAAAACGTAAAATTCAGCTGCTAATGATCACAGACAGTCCACTCACTGTCTTCTATTAACATGAATGTACACTGCCATACCTAGCGATTAGAGAGCAGTTCTGCACCATGCGCTTTTCAATGAAGATTCCTTGGGCGGCGTCGGGTTTGACCATGCGGCCATTCTGGTACCAGAGCACCTGCATGTCCTCGGCCACGAAGGAGGCCTGGCACTGAAATGGCAGACTGTCTCCCTGAAAGACGACCTGACGCTGGGACGGAGTCAGCTGGAAGGAGGGCAGTTCGAGTGGAGCGTCTGAGGAAACCAGACAGAGATTAGGAAGAGAGTTAGGTAAAAAAAAAAAAAATGTGTTACTTGGTTCCTATGTGTCACAAATCAGTTTTTATTCCATTTACCCTGGAAACAATGCCTTTTTGTTACACTCTTGCCACTTTTTGGACACACAGGGAAACTAAAACAGTGCCTTGAATTCTGGTGCTATTTGTCATTCATGTTTCATAATCCCTCATTGTGATGAGTGCCAAACTGATAAGACATGAGCAAGTACAAACAAAGGCAGCGCTGGCCTGGGCAGCCCTCTCTCTTATCTCCCGTGTCATTGCACAAGCCCCTGTTCCTCAAACACCATGAGCCGTGCTGATACCAAAACAGAGAAATTAAAAGAGACAGCGGTACCGTTTTGACACCACAATCTGTGTCACAATTCAAAGTGACTTATTTCGACCTTTCAAAATGTCTGGGACCGGACAAATGACACACCAGAGTGTCACTGAAATGATGAATGATTCGGTTTCAACTACTATTTCAGGTCGCTGCTTTCGCACCGTGTCAAATCTATGTACGCAAATGTTTGTGTATGTGTGGTTCAGGTGTGTTTGTCCCTACCGCATGTGAGGAGCTCTGGCCTGATGGAGGTAATGAGCTGGCCCTGGAGAGACTGGGGGTAGGAGCACTTGGTGTTCTTGACTGCAATGTTCCTCTCTTTGATCCAACGCAGCAGCCACAGAAGGTTGCAGTCGCACAGCAGGTAAGGTGTCTGAAACTCCCTGTGAATGTATATTAACACACACATACAGAAACAAGAGGTAAGATAGTAAGTGGTGGGAGTATGTGAGATGGGAAAACCCCAATTTTGCTGTCATATTTAACAACTTAAGTAATTTCCATTGTATATATTCAGACATCACAGTCTTAACATACTTACAATGATTTCAGAGATACCAAGCTGTCAAAGGTCCCCTGAGCCAACGAAGAGAACATGTTCCCTGTAAGGTTTCTGGAAAAAAGATGAAAAACATCTCACTTTTATCCCAGTCTATTAATACAAATACATGATTATATAAATGCTTGTTTTAGCAAACTATTCATATATATTGTAAAATAAAATAGTAATGACTTACAGTCTGGTCAGACTGGTGAGGCCCTTGAAGATGTCCACATTAAGACAGCCGATGCTGTTGTTGGACAAGTCTCTATAGCAAACACAGAAAAATATGTATCTGGTTCATGTCTTCCACAATTCAGAAATAACACACAGCTGCAATGGTCTAAAAGACCATCAATTAGTAAGCTGCATTAAGGCTGGGAATGAATTCCAAAATGATACACCCTAAAAGAAAAGTCACTATCATGAGAAAAGTTGATAAACATTAAGATGTTTAAGTTGCAGAGATAAAGCACAGAAGGTTGTTTTTTTTTTTTTTATATAAAAGAGCCAAGTTCAATAGAGACAAGTTGAGGCAAAGAGCCCAAACCTTCATCTGACAGGTTTACAACTTTAAAGGTGATTTTAGATAATGTCTGTGTGGGCCCCCGGGGGCGAACCTACACATCAAAGCCAGAGGAACAGATGATTAATCACTTATGATTAATGTCAAACACGTCAAAAGTATGTGTTTCTCCTCTGGATGTGGCCTGACATTATGTCTCTGGCAAACATCACAAGTTTCTGAGACTCCTGACGCCTTTTAGAAGGGATCACAGATGAGTCCAGGACAGAACATGGAAAAGACTGATCCTGCTTCTGAATTAAACCCAGTGTGCAAACGAGAAGCTGCAAAGAGGACATTTTTACTGGTAAACTTTAGTAGACTGCCCTCCGATACAGTGGTTCCCCGTCTGTGGGTTGGGACCCCACAAGCCAAAACATATTGGTCTTGGACAGTTAAGATGTTCTTTATACTAAGAGTGTTGCTGGAGCTTTGAACTTGATTAAAATGATAAGAAATAAGGGAAGAAATCTGCAACAAAAGCAACGTCTATCCTTTAAACATTGCTTTTTTTATTGTGAAATATTGGATCATTTCACTTCTTCTGACCTCCAAAACCTCCAGAAGCAAAGAAAACTTTTTACAAAATATTAAGATAGTCATTACTTCAACAATATGTAATCTTGCCTCGAGTTTTGTATTTGAACGTCTACCTAACGTTCTTGTGGCCAGAGTGTTAGCAAACAGCTGCCTATTTACACAGCGAGCTGACACAGACAGATTTATTTGAAGTCATGTTTCCGGCCACCTGGTGAATTTAAGTCCAACATCCTCTAACGTTTTAGCTCCGTTTTTGATCCAACAATTCCTGAAGGCAATATCTGATCTTTAGCTGCTAAGGAGGCTTAAGGAGGAAACTAGGCTGAACCAAAACAGTACGTACGTGGGCCGCAGAACCTAAACAATGTGCTGAAAGGCGGCAAAATGCCCTGTAGAGCTGAGAGAAACTGCAGAGTTGGCTGATAATTCTCTGTGAGTTTGTCGCTATGGCCGGTATGATTGACCCATTATTGGCAAAAAAATATATGTTTTTAGTGCAGTTTTTGTCAAACATGGTGATTAACCAACAATCACATTTTGGACTCTTTAAATTCCAAGAGAGATAACATTTAAAGCAACCAAAGTCACAGCACCTTCACAAAAGCTGTAACACATACGCCCTCTGTGAATGATCCAATCACTGGAAAAAAGACAGATCATTACCTCAACCCACCAGCTAAACTGTGTCCTGGGGTGCTTGAGGAACGCGCAACTGACACAAAGTGATACCTGGAAAATGACTGTCAGGCATATGCTAACATCCGAGCATTTATGTAATTATTGGTGTTGGTCCTTAAGGTGCCAGCTGGGGAATTTACTCTGTGAGGTTATTAGTTCCACTTGGAAGAGAAGAAAAAGCCGCCGTTTGCAGTCCTGCCAATTTGTGCGAGCATTGTGGGAGAAGGATAACATGGTAGAAGTGAAGGGGCAGAGGGGAGGGGGCTCTCCTAGCTAAAGACATACTTTCATCTCACTGGATTCAAATACTAGAGTTACAGCTACATCACAGGCCTTAAGACAAGATGGGGGATACTGTTATTACTTTTAGTCACTTTTACCGTGTTAGAAATCAATGTAACATATTTTATTCAGAACACTGAAAATACATCCACACATAACTGGCTATGAACCTATTGCTGACTCAAGTCTCTAATCGCCATCTGCTTTTACAAGTCGACTCGAATTCATCACCAAAGACTGATCTCAGATGCGTCTTTTGAACCACAGGCATGTAAGCACATAAACTGCACAGAGGATTGTTTCATTGCTGCAGTTGTTGTGAATGATATGAGGAGTGGAAGCAAAAATAGCCCGATGTGATTAGACCTGAGCAGCGTCTGTTCAGCTGTTTGTGGAATGCAGAGTAATGAGGGCTGAGGCCAGAGGGATCCATAGCCTCCGAGTGTTGCATATTGTGAGAGATGGGGGCGTTTGCATATATTTGTACGTGTAAAACGGCGTGTGAGATCTTTCCCCTACATAGTTATACTCTTGAGGACGCGTTGGTATACGTCATTGGCGTAGGTACGGCGCAGAGGTACAGACGAAGCTAAACTGTTTCTCAACCGCTCTACAAAACTTGAAAATCGGACAAACTTCAACTTACTCCGCTTACTTCAACTAAACTAACTACAGCTGCTTCTTAAATATAAATACCCTTTGAGTGTGCCAAAAAGACTAATGTCTGATGTGTAGATGCCATTTTATCCAAACTTCTCCAGCCTTTCTTTAAATGTCCCAGTCACTGCTCTATGACAGGAGACACAAGATAAATAGGTCCTCCAAATGGCACGTCTTGAAATGAGAAGTAATCTCATTAGGCAATACTGAGGAGGGAGGTAGAGGCACAGATGGAGGGAAATCAAAGGTTGGCTAGAGTAGAGTCAATGATAAGGACAAAGAGAAAGGTAGAGAGAGAGTATGTGAAGATATGTCAGATAAATGTTACATAAAAAAAAAAGGTAAAAGTCTATTTTTATGTACTACTTATTCCACTCCCGTTTTCCAAAAACCGGAGGGGAAAAAAAAGTCGGGGGGGATGTGTAGCGGTGGATGCCAACCCTTGATGTAGAGCTTCTGTGTTTACATTCCCAGGGTCCAGCCCCAGCTCATCGTCTTCTTCACTCGTCTTCCCTTTTCCGCGCTCCCTCCCTTTCACAGTCAAGTGAGTGACAAACACCCTTTTAAAATTAACTGAGGCGGGCGGTGGGGCCAATTAAACTTTGCTACCCTTAGGCAAAAACCAAAATGACTCTAGAACAAACATATCCACGAGAGGTTGCAGATCACTCTGTGGTGATAAGTCTTTATGAATAGCTTGTGTGCAGAAGACATATAGGCAGGCTTGAATCCATCCGAGTGGTGCATGAATCTGCATCGAGGACCGAGGATTGGGGGGGGTGAGCCCAGGTCTGAGCCAAGGAGCTGACTGCCTTCCTGTCTCGCTCTTATTGCTCCACACCAGAAGCCAAGTTCAAGTTTGTGTTGGCAGCGGCTGGGTACTGTCGGATGATTCCAATGCATGCTGTGCGTTCTCACACACACAAACACACAAACACACACACACACACGATTTCAGACCTCCCATACTCACACACCACATATCCCAAATACACTGTAGCTTTGGGTTTGCTCTGCAAATCACAATTGTCGTCACATGGTATTCATAGACGCCTTCATTTTTTTTTTCCTTCTTCAAATGTGTGAAAGCATATAAGGCCTCATGCTGTCTGCAGTGGTCTCTGGCAGTGAGCCAGACAAAACAAGGCAGCAGAAGTAGACTGCTGCTTGACCATGCTCCCTTATGGACACTGGATACACTCTAGACCTGCTAGAACATGCACAGCACATTGCACAGATAGATCCGAAACAACAGCTGCCTTAAACACAATATAGGAAAACAGCCCAGACTGTTAAGGAATTTGTAGAAGCCTTCAAACTACAGATTTAAAAATACCAAAACGAAAATGGCTTTAACCACATTCGTTTTAACAGAAGACAGCTTGAACAAGAGGCGTCACTTTACTCCCAACAATAATTGTAAATCACTATTCTCACATGGCAAATAATTAAAAGTGAGCACTCCCAGAGGGGCTGAACGTGTGAATACAGAGGAAACGCACATGTGCAGAAACCACATTAAAAAAAACAGACAGTGAGGCTGCAGAAGCTCCACCACTACTCACAGTCTTTTGAGTGCCGCCAGTCCGATGAAAGCGCCCGGTTCAATATGACTGATCGTGTTACTCCGCAGGTCCCTGTAGGGGAGAAAAAGGAGAACATTTTAGGTCCTGTATGCAATTCATACAGCAATAAAATAGTAGAGCTGCAGCGATTAGTTGACCATCAGTCAAACAACAGAAAACGAATCTGCAACAATTTTAAGTAAATAAATGCTTTTTTTTGTACAAAAAACCTGGCAAATGTTCACGTGTCCCAGCTTCAAAAACGTGAATGTTTTCTGGCCTTTTAAATGTTCTATGACAGTTTACTCAATATCTTTGTGTTTTACAACGTAGGTCAGAGGAACCAGACAGCATTTCTTCATGATTTACTGACATTTTTCACTTCAAACCATTAACTATGAAAATAATTGGTAGATTGACTGACAATTAAAGTAATTATTAGTAGCATCCCTTCAAAATAACCTTAAATATTCTAATTACATGGAAACCACTTTAGCCACCAGGGTTTTGCAATTAACATTTCAGTAGGCAAGCACCGACATGGCACGGAAGTAAAAGTGGCCATCCTTAAAACATAATGATACAAAGTCACTGCATCTTCCATGTGCATGCATTTCTTTTGCATTACCACACAGCCTGACATCACCGACAACCTGACCCTCAAAAGGTGCTCTCTGGCTCTGAACAACCCCCCCCACCCCACCCCACCGATGCACAGACACACAGTCAGACCTCCCTCTCCTGAGGTACAAAGACTTGCGATCACAGAATTCCTGTGGCGCTCACCTGTGCTGGCACTGCCTAGTCACTCATTACAGTGGAGGTCCAGAAGGCTTTGTAGTCGCCACCTGAACTCACACAAAGGGCCTCTGGGAAACTCTGCCCGTTTGATGTCGAGGAGCTGTCCTCTGAAGGTGGGTAGGTGGTCATAGACAAAAAAAAAAAATCTATTGCTTGTTAAAGCTTTTGAAGTGAGCGGGCAGACTTGGCTTTTCTGTGCACGAGTGTTGAGAGATGAGAAAAACGGGAAGGCAGGACCAAGAACACAAATATCCTTTCAACCAGTGTCAGGAGTGAGTATCAATGTTTTAATGTATTTTTAATAAAAATTTGCTGCAGTTTTAAAGATTCTGATACTGAGAAGCTTAAAAAGAGTTACTGAATGATATCTGCAGGTCTGTCTTCACAGATCAGGTATCATTCACACTGGGAAACCTCATTGTTCGGAGTAAACTACTAATGAAAAAGAAGAAAACTGTCGCTCTCTGATATTTTAATACTCGTGGATAAAACATGGGCAGTAAGAGATAACCAGTGCATGCTTAAGAATCCATAGCTGCACTTTCCAAAGACCGCTGACCACACATGACCGGGCACCTCTTAAATCTATTTGCAGAGGGAAAAGAAAAACAGGTTTTCTTGACTTGCTCAGACTGAAATAGCTGGCTGAATTTTCGGTACAGTGTCCCAGAAGTGTTCTTGAACTGGCCCCAAACCAAAACGTTGGTTTTGCAGCTGCTGCCATTTTTAAGGGCACACAAGCCATCTTCCAAAAGGTGTTACGCATAATAAAATAAAAACACATGTGACTCTTATTTAATTCAAGGATAGTAGCGCTTCAGAAGTAACAATATGGCTAACATGAATGCTACTTGCATTGCAAATGTGTCTCCTGGTGACTTTTTGTTTTACATTTGCAATAAAACCATCGGGATTCTTACCCAGGCTAAACAGAACTGTTGAACGAGTGTTATATATTAAGTTTGGAAACATTAGCTAATAATAGACACCACAAACTTCAACTTTTCATTTGTTAAAGAGAAGATTGTGTTTTAAAAAGTTACACGTCTTACTTTAAACACACTGGTTAAGCAAATTAAGCTTGCTCAACAGCATCCTCCTCCCACAGTAAAAGCTGTACTGCGAAAAATTCATTTCAAACTAACTTTATATTTATGCTTAACTTGCTTACAGACATACTTCCACAAGTATTACACCGTTCATGAATAGACAACAATCAGTTCTTCAGAAAACACTGCACACTGGAGCGGTTATCCTTGCTCTCTTTGCCACAATAAGCATTCCTCCACAGCAGTGGATTTAGAAAGGAATTAGCATGTGACGGCCGCCTAGCTTGGCTCCTATTTCTATAAGAAAAGTGATAATGGGGATTCTGTGTGGCTTATTTCCAAGCAGGGGCACCTTTGGCCCCGACAAAACACAACGGTCTCCACAGTTACTTTGCAATTTCACGCAGAGTGCCGGATAGGCGCAATTGATTCTCTACCCCTCTCCGACACTCACAACCAGCTGCTGTCTCAGTCTTCAGTCTTCATGGAGGGGGAGGGGGAGGGGGGGGCAGAAGCTGTGAAGGCAGGAAAAAGGAGGGGTGGAAGGCAAGATGGAGAGCCTCAGTGCAATTCAAGCATTCAAACACACTCAAGAGTTTAAGGAGAAAAAGGGAGTGGGGCGGGGGAGGGGGGGCGGCGGGGGTATAGGAACATTTCAGAGAGGGAGAGGCTCCAACATGCATGGTGTGTATGGGAATCGCACTGCTGACACCTCTGGCCTTAGCTTGGCCTCATTACAATGACAAAAGCAAGCAGGCCATCTAGCAATCTCGCTTCACTGGACAGGGGTGGGGTCTGTGAGGCACAATGTGAGCTGCTTTTGGAGATAAACCTGCCTGTGGATTGATGCAGGCAGACCAGAGTTTACAACCAAATTGACTGGCCGTTCACAGACAAAGCACTTAAGTGCCTTTAAGGCTTTCTTGGAGAAGAAAGCTCAAAAGGTTTGGGTTTGTTTTTTTTTAAACACATTCAGTACACCATCTCCTGTTTATCCTCCAAGTCTGAGCTCTCACATCCAACCAAATTCAAGAGCCCGCAGAGAATTCCCCTTATTAACATGGCAGTCAACTCGAGAAAAGACATGCCGGGCAATTTTACATAACAAATTATGGCCACAAGATAAAAAGAGGAGGAAATGCTGCAGGTGCTTCATACTGATAATGTACAAAATCAAACTTTGTGAGATATACATATATACATATATATATACATATATATACATATATACATATATATATACATAATACATATACATATATACATATATATACATATATACATATATACATATATACATATATATATACATATATATATACATATATATATATACATATATATATACATATATATATATACATATATATATACATATATATATATACATACATACATATACATATATATACATATATATATATACATATATATATACATACATACATATACATACATACATATACATATACATACATATACATACATACATACATACATACATACACCACACACACACACACACACACACACACACACACACACACACACACACACACACACACACACACACACACACACACACCACACACACACACACACACACACACACACACACACACATACATACACTTTCTATGTTTCTGGTCTTTTTAACCAGAACGGGAACAATGCTCTTAGAATTCCATATCTATGCAGTCATGTGTTATTGCAGCCCTGGTTAAAAGCACGGCCATTAATGGTCTGGTTATTTTATCTGCATGAAGCCATTCCGGAGAGATAAGTCACCGATGGCCCATATGTGCGGGCCTAGAGCCATTTTCTTGAAATCTCTGTAGGAAGGAAACACGGGTGATGACATTCCAATCTCCAAAGTCAGAGTCACATGGCATGAGCAATGTCTCTCCGTCGTTCAGGGAATCTCAGAGAACATGCACGCCTATACCAATAAATGTCTTCACCATCTATAAAAGTGATTTCCTTCTCCTCTCACTTTTTTTGCCAGTTTCTTCCCTCAAAAAGGCTCTACTCAAAGATAAAGTACTGAGAATTACTGTGTCTCTTACATATATGCTATTCCTCTGAAGTGGGCCCCATCCCCAGAATACCCAAGCAGCTGTATGTTGAGAGTATATCACCAGGCAGTCAACAACCAACCCTTGGGGCTTACCTATAATTAGCCCTTTCTAGTACCATCTCCAGTCTTCCACTATAGACTGAGGCTAAGTGCTACTCATATGACCTGGATGTTCCACATGCACGAGGCCAATGTGTATTTAACAAATCTCAAGCCCAAGCTTCACTTGTGAGAGATGGATGGGTGCTGCTAATGCACTGGTACATATAACGTGAAATACTGCAATGGTATTTGACAACAAAAGCACCACCTTTTTTAAAGTCCATTGGTGACAGTTCATGGATACACACAGCTTTTGCAAGATGGAAAACATCACTTTTAAAAGCTAAGATGATTTCTTCTATTAAGGTTTTGAATCTTAATCCAAGCACAAATTTCAACTGCCACAGTAAGGTTTTACTTTAAAATGCGCTAGTGGGACCTATAGCAGAAAGAAAGTTGAGGTAAACATTAATACATTAGTGCTCATGTAGATCACTAGTGGAAAGGGGAAAATAATAATAGTACTTACAGTTTTTCCAAAGTAGACAATCCAAAGAAGGATCCATTTTTGAGTTCTTGAATCTTGTTGTTGTTTAAAATTCTGTGGAAAGAAAAATATGTAAACAAAAAGCAAGTCCACAAAAAACTGCATAATTTCTGTTGTATTAATATAGATATGTTTTTCATTGCACCCAAAAAACCTGTGTGTAACTTTTTATTTCCAACACACTGTGTTATTGTTGGCAGATAAGTCCAATTTAATACAGGCCTACAGTTAATGTTTGCCACAGCACTGCAAACATCGTCAAGGAATGTGTGTTAATTAAATTGCGAAAATTGATTCAAAGAGACCTGGTGTCTTTTTTAATCACAGGTGGAACGGTGCCACACTGCTACTACTTGTTGACAGATAACAATATTAAGATATACTCTTTGTCCTCTTGCCACTCTTAGCTTCCAGTCACGGAATGTTTGCTCCACCGCCAGGAAGAGATCAGACGAAAAACAACTTGAACTTCAGCCGAGTATTTTTCTTTCATGTTAAATTGGCAGCATCTGAGCACTCTTGAGACAGGTAGCCAAAATAAGATAAAGAGTTATCTTTCTGTGAAACCCAATGGACTTTAGCAGGTAAGCATATCATAATCTGATCTGTAGCAGCAATAACTCGCTGGTGATACCATTTGTTTTAACCGCCACATGATGAAAGCTTATTCTAACAAGAAATCCAAGCTTTTGATCAAACACAGCTTAAATCTAGCCATGAACTGCCAAAGAATTATACATTGTGTGCTCACGGACAACAGCGTAGTAAACCAAAACTTTAATCTGGGTTACATCACTAAAAGGAGCTGGGACACCCAAACAAAAACCCAAAGTCTACATACTAGAAACAAGCATTACGTGCATAGAAATGACTGATCATATTTACAGCTAGCACTGGATTAAATGCAACAAATGCACACAAGTAGCCTGTGGTCTTCACAAGTCATTGTTTTCAACATAATCACCACAAAATAAAAGTGAGCTTGAGAAAACCTTCAAGTCCAAGTGTGAATTCTTGATTGCTTCCTCCCTGGCTAATAAACCGGCTTTTATTATCCACTTTATTCCCTGTGCATAGCACAAGCTGATTCACCGCTTGCAAAGCTGCAAAGTAAAGCTCAACAGTTTTGTGCCCAAGTCCCTGAGAGTTCTTTCTTGTCTTACTCCCAACGATTCTGGGAAATCAATAGCACTGTTAACTCCCAGCAGAAAACCCCAGGCAGGGACCTGTGGTTAGCATATGTTTCTGGCCAACAGGGAGGGGATGTGGTGGGGTGACAAACATGCTAGTGGCACCCACAACCCGGGGCCAGATTGGAGTCATTATGGGGTGTTGAGGGGTTGTTTTATTACAGGGTTGGACAGTGGAGACTCGTTGGGAGAGTTGCTGCTTGGCTCCCTGCCGCTCAGAGTGTGCGCGCACACACACACACACACAAACAGTTCCCGTGTTTCACCGCCTGTGTTTCTGAATGCTGAAAAGGCAGATGTTAAAACATGGTGTTGTACAAGGCTGCAAATTCTATCACTGCCTGTGTACACTTGATCTGATGATATAGGCAGAGACCATGGGCCTCCCAAGACTGTGGTCACAAAAGCCTCATTTATATTGAAGAATACTTAGCATACCAATAGAGTGCATTTTACCATGAGGCCTGTGTGAATTTAGGAATGTGGCACTCAATCCACATAATATAGAGTGCACAAAAACACCGTACAAAACAACAGAACTGCAGTTAATACTAGTTTGGGGTATGCTTATAATGTTCGGCTGACAGCGTTGACAACTGATGCGCCGCAAAGTATCACAAATCACAAAAATAGAGAACACCCTCTTTCCTTAGACTCTCAATTTAAATAAGGAAAAATGGGAAAATCATGATGACTAAACTATATGGTAGTATAATTAGGCTTCCAGGTGCTGCCAAACAGATAGGACCTGAGCCACACGACCTCCTCTCCACCACATTAGTCATCTTTAATTCGGGCCTGACAATCACCCTTTTCATCTGGCAGAGTAAGACTATTACAGAGGTGCAAAAAGTGCTTAATTATCCAACGTTGTGACAGGAAAGTATGGCAACTCATGAAAGACACATGCCAAATAGCAAAGACGTAGAGTGGTCACAATTAGACCCTCACAAACATCGACCTTATTTAGCTGTTTGAGGTTGCATACGGCACAAATAGACCTTTTATCTTCACTGAAATTTGCATAGTCATATTTCAAGAATAGATTATAGATTTAAAACAACGCATTATGGGAATCATTCGAGCTTGGCTGCATAAATACACCCTTCTAGCCTTGTGACTCCATGAGTCGTCAAAATAAATCTGTGAAAGAGAGTTCTCCTGAGAGTCATGAGCCCTTTCCTTGCCCTCTTTCCATTCCTCCCTTCTTTGCATGCTTAACCCTCTTTCCCTGGCCGGTCCCTCCCTCTTCCTCATGACAGGAGTGTGACCTCGGTAAACTGCTTCAGCTACAAAACTGAGAAAGAAAAAACACACCATTGGCTATATAAGCAATATACACAGCAAAGCCTCAAATCTGCATGGAAATTACGGCCATTTAACCACCACCCGCAGGACGTCTGTAACTACACCGTCTGCTTCCTTACGTCTGTCTCTGGATGTCAGCCTGAGGTCTCCAGGTTATTGAACAGTCTATGGAATTTCTTCAGGCTACGCCTCAAACGATGGAGGAGATGGGGAGTCTCCCTTATCTTGATGCATAGATAAGACCTGCTTGAGCGCAAATCAGAAACAAGCTGCAGGGGGATCCCACCAAATCTCCCATCCAGTCTCCTGATAGCGATGCTATAAATCTCAACGACATTTACGGGAAAGCTGTTTCTGAAATAGGAATTTCTACTCTGAGTCAAAGAATATCAAATGCATTGGCCTAGATTTCATCTTGCCTTCAGAGTGTGACACTATTGAAGGTTACCTCCCAAGTTCTTTTTCACTTAAGAAAATACACTGGTAGAAGCATGCGCTTCTGGCTGTAGGCACATTATCCAGAGGACGACTAAAAATGGGCAGCAACTACACACTCCCCTCACAGGCAGTGTTTTAAGGACAAAGCCAGCTGATCCGCTCTCTCAACACTTTCTTTATGCTCAGGAGGCCTTTAGACAATCAACTCCAAAGAGCAGAGTGATGTAACTATTCATCTGTTTTCAAATAAGTTTCAGGCTGCAGTTGAGCTCCTAAAGACCTTTCTGGAGTGACTTCCTCTGAATATAGTGGATGGAAAATTGGGCCTCAAGTCAGGTACAAAAGGGAACAGGTGCAGAGGCGGAGGTGCTGCAACTTGTCACGGTAATTCTTGCAGTTATCCCGAACTTTCTTGTTCCACAAAAGATCATCTCTGAAGGTTTTTCTGCAGTATTTGGATTAATTTTGGGAATGGGCAACAAAAGGTAGAGAACTTTGCGACTAGTATTTTTGTTTTACATGTAACTAAGGTAATATCAAGTCCTTTAAAGATCCCCTTGCATTGGGGCAAGCTTAAAAGAGAACTTGTCATACAAGCTCTTTTTGCCTCTTTATTCTTGTAAGTCGTACAGCAGGCAATGCAATATCCTCTTTCAGCGTCCAACAGGCCAAGCCATTAGAGCAAGGCATTCACCTTATCTCTGCCTGAAAAACGATCCACCGGGCAAACACCAGGATGAAAGTTAAATTAACACAGACGAGAAGGCATTGCACAGCCTTAGCTCATCTCTACACACTAAATGGAACTGCTTGTCTGGGATTAAATGAGCCTTGGTGCAACCCGGAAAAGTCAAACAACAGGTCTGCGAAATGAAAGCCTGCGAAATGAAAGCCTGCGAACTGACTAAGCTAGCTGTCAGTGCCTCACCTTTGGGATTTTGCTTTCTTCTGCAAAGACTGCAGAACTACTATGAAAAGCACAGGCGCATTCCTTTAGACCAATGGCTCACCTGGAAAGCAACAAAAACAAATCCTCTTAGGACGTGCATGACAGCAGGCACCTGTGGTTTAGTTACACAAAAACTTCAAAAATGGTTCCCGGCATAACAACTTTTTATTGTTGGGGGAAATACACATACTATATGATTGACATAAAGACTGATCACGCATTCCAAACTGCTGTGTCTGTGTTTACTATAAAATTTTAAGATCTGAAATCCAAAGGGAAACCTCTCCACAAGCCTGACGAGAAGGAAGTGAAGTCTTATGGAACCCAGGGCGAAATGTAACCCTAGCTGCCAGTTTGTGCTGCTGTGAAACAAGACAGTTTACTTCACTCCTATGTGTCATCAAACTGTGCTCGCTTTCCCTGTAGCAAGGGAGGAAATCCTTGCTTTCTTCCTGACATTAATCCTGTGTTGGTCTGTAAAGGCCAAAACCAGGTGCGCTTTTTTGCACTGTCCAGCCCAGGTGCTCCCAGGAATGGATCCTGATTACATTAAACAAGACCTGTAAAGAAATGTGAGCTGGGTGAGAACAGAAGGCATAAATATAGTCGGCTCTGCATGGGTATGTAGGCTGAAACTTAAGCAGGTACGCATAAATAAACGCTCATGTATACATCCATAGACTATTCATACAAGTTGATTTATCCTTCCATGTGAGGCAAAGATTCATCTCAGGGCCTTGTATTTTAGCCGAGGCCTGAACTGACACGGGAGAACCGGCCAGCTGTAAACACAGTTGTGTCATTTCCTCTCGGATTACTTCGGCACGCGGTATAATTTGGAGAGCACAAATGCGGGGAATGCGTTGCTCATTTCTCTCCCTACAGAGAGGCATTCAGAGCAGAGCTGCACTGAATATCTACACACATTATTAACCGAAAAATTATTTAAGTCTGGCAAAATAGCATAACTGTGGAACTGCTCATGTACAAACATGCGTAGTTCAAATGAAAGACAAGGTAACAGTAAGACCCATCATGTGAGAGTATCTGGGGTAACCTTTCTGGCGTACAGTCAAAACAACTGGTTTGATTCAATAAGGTCACCATAAAGAGCAGTTGAGCCATTTTCTCAAAGAAATGTGCTTGTGGTTCAAATCTCCTTTTAAAAGTGCTCTCTGAAAAGCCTGATTGATATTGTGTTCATTAGATTCCAGACCCCTGAAGAGGAAAACAGGAAATCTTAAGTACACGGGGGGGGGGGGGGGGGGGGGGGGGTATGATGAATGGAGTGGGTCTCTAATCACACCTAGCTTATGCTGCCATTTCTGGCAAGGCCTTTAATTAACACACACAACAAGGCGTGTCAACACACAAATGGAAAAACATGCACTTAACAAGGGAACTATATTGCCAGCAGTCACTACATTAGCGAGATTATCCGAAAACTGAGTAGTTTTAAAAGTCAGGTACAACATTTTGTGTTACTTTGTGTAATGATTTTAAAATGGAAATACGTAGCCTACATTTAAAAGAAGTAAAAAATGATTAATTACAATTCCAAACAAACCAATTTAAGATGTATGTCTGCTTAGACTAATAAAAGTTAGGTGCACAGTCCATTTAGGTCTGGGTCTGTTTGTTAATAATTTTCGTCAAAGTCACAGAGACCCAAAGGACTAGTTGCAAGTTGCAAGTGTTCAACATCACTTTACAAAAGTCAGTGAAACGTTACGATGCTAGTCCCATGAACGTTTATGAAATCGCCAGTCTGTCTTGATCAAATAGTATCCTTAAAGCATCGCACATTTAATATTCGGTAAAATAGTCACTGCCACTTGAGTCACAGCAGGATCTAGGGAATTGTTTGTGAGAAGTTTCATGCGCTCACGCTAAGTGAGAAAAGCTGAACACGGTGGGATCTGACTTGGCTTAAGACGGAGAAATAATGGCTGGTGATTTTCAAGTCTGAGAAAGGTTTCTCGTAGCAGCAGTGTCCCCTGCTTCGGTTCACTGCAGTCCAGGCCAGCCGTGTCTCTGCCACGGGTCAGCCTTGCCACAAGACACTGGGAGGGCTGTAAAAGAGGACCACCACACTTACTTGAGAGGGCTCGCTGATTTTACAGGTCATAAATTAACACCCAAAAAACTGCACGGCCAACATAAATTGCTGTGTCAGTGCCACTCACGTCTACAGGGAACTGTGAAGAGAGTTCTACTTGAAGACGATAGTTCTGTTGATGTCCTACAATGGATGACAACAACAAATGTCCAGAAACGCAAAAGTGGAGAAAACTGGAAGGAATTCCTGAGAGTCGCACTGCTTTCTGTTATTACACGTTACCCGTCCTTAGGAGGCCATCCTCCACATGACAGTACTCAAGCTCAATGCTAAATCATGAGGAAACCTGGCTCAACCTCCAATCCATCACTGTCAGAACAAGATGACCGATTCCAAGCTCAGTAAAGACACACAGACATAGCAAACACCAGGACAAGAAGAATGGCTCTGCTAAATGACTTTAGAGCACAGCATAGTGAAAAGAGATCAGCGTATTTTAAATTATATAAAGATCTGAGAGGACAAGGATAATTCCAGAACAGAATAAAGAAATTCAAGATCCCTTCATGTGTTTTGCATGTTTTAGCCAATTTCCTCTTACTCACAGGCCTGCACTACAAAGCAACAAGCATGAAAATGTTATTATAAGTGTAGGCTACACATGTGTACTCAGTGTTAAGTGTTAATGATGGGAACAATTAATACACACCACTTGATAGAATATTTTTATTTTTCATACTGACTTGTTGCCACATGGGCTTTCCACTAGGAGTTAATTATTTTTAGAATTCATACAGGCAGCCGTACAGCCTGGGGGCTTCAGGGAGTAGATCTTAATTCATTAACAATTTCTGAGATGTAGCCCATGAGTATAATTGAATTATCCTAATTTTTTTCACGTATTTAAAATGACTATTGTACCTTTACAACTCAATCATATTACAAATAAAAAAGTCCATATGACTAAATAGAGATTATACAACAAGAACACTGTAAAGTTACTTACAAATCACAAAAACAAGGCTCCCTGGCTTTGTTGGCCACCACGGTGTTAGATTTGGCCGTTAACAAAAATACGGAGCAAGAGCCGTTATGAAGAAACTCTTAATCTCAAAACTCAGTCAGAGTTTGCCAACCCGGAATTTCTGTGATAACCCTGAGTTAAATCTGAGTGGTTTAAACTCATCTGCAGTACCGGCCTCAGATCTACTACAAAAGCTTGTTTGTTTTCCAGATAAAATGCAGCAACGTTTCCTACAATCTAGGCAGCTAATGGCCCCCCGTTCTTTTTGGTACGGATTATGCATTCACAGAGTCACGTTACTTGCTCGAGCCAAGTAACAGTGAACACGTGTTAATTCCGTGGTAATACAGTTCTTTAGAAGTCTGCCAGTGTGGTGCATTGGGTAGGTAACTGAGAGTCAGCTCCTGAATACAAGCAGCATCACTACAGGTTATATTAAGTGTTGAAGCAGGTTTTGAAGTACCTCATGATGCACTCCTTTGTATTTTTGTATGAGTAAGCACATCGTGAGCAATGTACAATCCCGAGTCAAATTCCAGGTATGTGTACACATACCTGGCAATAAAAGCTGATTCTGATTCTAATGCTGAGTCCTCCAAATGCATGGCCTCAATCCTAAAACTGACCGACAACATGGAAGTCAGTCAGCGAGGAGGGAACAGATATTTCGTCTTAACTAGAGGCACAGTTTTACAGACAGGCTTCTTACTCACTCAGTCGAGTGGTTGCCAAGGGTTCAGCTCCACCCAGACTACATCACACTGGCCTCATTTGGATTCTTTTTGGCTCCAGTTGCTGATGACTGCAAACACAAACCTAAACTCCAACCATAACAATGTCCCTGCAGTAACATGATACCACAGACAACACGTTCAAGTATTTCTAAAATTTTCCATATCGTCACATGCTTGTGCCTGCATTTACATTGTACGATGAACTAAGAAGAAATAAAAAACGACATATTGCTCACTTACGGATTACCAAACTCAAACAGCTTTTAAATGTGCTTTAATACTGTCCTGATATTTCTACAATCTAAAACATAGGGCCTATTTATACAGATTTAAACCTCTAAAACTCTATTTTAGATAATTCTTCAAAGTAATCAGAATTTGATTTGTGGTAAACAGGTTAAAACAAGCACACTCACTGAACTTACCAGCAAATCCTATCCCTTTCTTTCCCTCCCTGGAGTCTATTATTTGCTTTCTACTCGTGCACCCTGCCCTGGTATTCTCATGTTTCCCCCATCGCTCACCACCACCACAAAGCGCAGAGTGCACTGGTACGCACAGCTATGACTTTCTGTCTTTTTGCTACTTTTGTTTTTTGGTGTCATTTGTTCTGTGAAGCACTCTCTAATAAACCAACATCTAAACTGCTTTTTAAATTGAATCTGGTATGATTTAAAAAAAAAAAATCAGGATAGTAACATACAGCAAAGGCCTCAAAAATCTGCAGAAACATTTTATGATGAGTTCATCATACCAGTTTTGTATGGGAGATCCACTCAGTCTGTTGTATGTGTGTGTTTGTGTTTCATCCTTGCCTGGGAGGCCACACAAAGACTAACAACTGTATCAATACACAGCGGTGACCAGAGTGAATGTACTTCCATTCCTATTCTTGACTTCTCAGAACACTAAACTAAAAGAAAAGGGAAAAAATGGGTGAAACATCAGTGTGTCATCAATAACAAAGCACCACACAAGCTAGATCTTACCCAATCAGTGTGTGTAAAAAAAAAACACCACAAGGGTTAACTCAACAGCCAATGAGCTCTTAAAGCCTTGGAGATGTGGTCAGATAAGTGTCTCCTGCCAGCACTAGTAGCCAGAATATCTCCCTGTGTGTGTGAATCACTACACTACTGGAAGACAGACAGTTGTTGTTATGTAGGGTTTACATTTACACATTACATTTACGCTTGGAAAAACTGATGTTTGGCTGACATGGAAAGTACAAAGAAGTATAGCTTAAGTTTGTCATATTTATCTTGTTTTTCCCATTTTGAACTATGCATAATGTAGATGATAGCGTATGGAAAATAACCACAGGGTTATTTTGAAAAGGATAAGCCTCCCTTTCTTTTTGAAAACTCAGCTGTAGTTTAATAAGTATATAAAACACGTTTAAGTCCCTGTAGTGACACTAAATAGCCTACACTATCTAGAAGTGGACTCACAGGGAATATAAGTAGTGACATATAGCCTACAGCCTTCAACAGTGCTGTTGAAACCTGGTAATAAACCTTGAAGATTCAAAGTTTTGCGTAACACAGGTTTAGGAGATGGGAGTGATGTGTTTAGGTGAAATGAATGCACCTCCTGTAATACTCACAGTGTGACTGTCCTGTTGGGGAAGGAGTCTGGGGGCAGCACCTGATGGAGCTCCATGTTGCTGCACACCACCTTCCTGTCGGAAGGCAGGCTTCTCCCACCGCTTTTCGAGCGTTCGTCATATGATTTGCAATCAGATGATGCCACCGAGCCGCCGCCGAGCAGCAAAATCACAAACAACTGCAACAGATGCGCCCTCATTTTCACACGCGACCAGAAAACCGCTGCGGCATTGGCAAAGGAAAGAACGTGCTGATGCTTAACAGGGCAGATGATCAGTGAGTCGCTTTGTTACGAAAGGGTGACATGAAATGCGGACCCAGTTAAAGACAAAAATGAGACATTTTCCAGTACGTTGTTTGGCTCATGTGAGCCTTCCTCCTCCATTTCTCGCAGGGCTTTCCCTGTGCTCGGCGGTATTCACTCCCGACAGAGGTGTCCTCCTTTGTTTGTCAAACGACTCATTTATAATTCCCTTTCCATTCTGGCGTGGTGTCCATTTCCTCCCAACTCATACGAATCCACAAACGTTAAATGCTGAGTATGGTCGCTGGTTACTAAATAACTTGCCCAGTTGTTCAAGGGCTTTCTTTGTTGCCCATAGCGTGGGTCCGATTCAGTGTTGTCTCTTCCAACAGGAGGCGGCTGTAGAGGTCCCAGGTTATCCGCACTAAGTTCAGGAAACGGGGCCAGGCTTAAGTTTTTAGTTGTTGTTTTTTTTTTTACAAGACACCCACTTTAATTTCCCAGTACTTTGGACTATATGCTGAACAAGAGCAAGTAAACTTTCCTCGTCTCGTCTTTTCCAGGCACCAACAGGAAATCACTCACAAAAAAAACACACACACACACGAGCGCTACTACAACACCACCACCTTTTCAGCTCAAACTGTGCTGCAAATACTCGAAAAACAAACCAAAAAAGCTATACATGCTTAAAGACGCGTCTCCGAAAGGGGTTCCTGTGTCTCTTTTAGCTCGACTGCGTCTTTGGAAAGTATTCAAAGTCAGTTGTCTGTCCATTGAGAAGTCCTTTTCCTATGGTCCTGCCCAGGGCTCCACTATTGTAAAGTCCTTTGGAGTTCAAACCACATCCGGTCCGCATTTCAGAATAAAACCCTCTGCGGAGGTCAACCATCGCACGGGACAGTACAAATACATTTTTTTGTGTAGGCCTACCTGTACTTGTCGTGAGTGTTTCCATTTTATGCTTCTTTTCATGTCTATTTCAATTTGGGAGGCGAATTTTGGCCCAATCCCAATGTCCCCCCTAAACCCTAAGCCCTGAACCCTCACAGACTTTACTGATGTCACTTGGAAAGTGACTGAGTGCAAGAGGCTGTGAGGGCTCAAAATGCAGTAAACAGAAATGGGACAGCCCTTTGCCACTTTATCGCGTTACCTTGACGACGCTGAAACACGTTGCACACTTCTTATTTTATGTTTTTGCCTTATTTTGAAGTCCTACAGGCTCTTGTCCTACAGAGTGGAGGAGAGGTAGCCTAAATGTCAATACATATTTGTAATTAATCAGTACACTATTGTTGGTCAAATAGCATCATCAAGCAAAAACTAAAATAAATAGTTGAATAAACTAAATAAGTATGTCATGAGGTTATTGCATTCCTCGGACTTCATGTGTTCTATGTAGCATCTTAAGTTAAGAAAACTTTCAACCATTTTGACATCAGTGCTGGTGTAGATGCGGGTCTGGGAATCCTCGTACTCCTCCGCCCGGGCGAACAGGTCGCTGAACCTGCAGGAGGAAGTGATCATCAGCCGCCGCAGTGATGTCACCAGTCTGTGTGTGTGTGTGTGTGTGTGAGTAAGTTCAGAAATGCTTTCAGGAGTTTGTAAATGAGTTACATTTACATTTAGCTGACGCTTTTATTCAAAGCTACTTACAATAGCTATATATGTCAGAGGTCGCACGGCCCTGGAGCAACTAGGGCTAAAGTGTCCTGCTCAGGGACACATTGGTGGACGTGTCACAATGGGGAATTAAACCCGGGTCTCTCAGACCAAAGGCATGTGTCTTATCCACTGGGCCATCACCACCCCCAGAGAAACAGACAAATCCATCCACAGCCACCTTTCACTTTGGCTGAAGCGGACCGCACCAGGAGCATCAGTGTCAGTGACCACAGTGAGGAGTGTCAGCAATGTCTGGTTCATCTTTGCACTGCAAAATACAAACAATGCAGTTATGAGGATAATTATAGAAGAAAGTTAGCAGTGCATGGTCATCGGTGCCCCCACACACTTAAAAGCATATTTTTATTATTAGGATGTACAATCCTGAGTCAAATTCTTCATATGTGTACACATACCTGGCAATAAAACTGATTCTGATTTATTTTTTCCAAGCCTGTCTTGATACAATACTCGTATACCAAAATGTTAAGAGTTACTGGTGGCTGTTATGATTCCTTCTGTCTATACTGACTCTATAACGCTTTCTTAATGTGACTCAGGACAAAATTCTAAAGTTCATTAGAAACAGTTATGAGGCTTCAGTAGTCTGACTTAGACAAGCCACAAAACATACTGAAAGTATTTTCAGAAGTTAGTCTTTGTGTGTTTCCTTGCTGAGCTGCAGCAGTGGGATACTTCCTTCCAACAGTAAACCTACACAATGACCTAACAACAATTTCTTTTTTAACTAGACTGCTTAAGCCTTATTTAGCTTCAACTAAACTTAGCCTCCTAAAATCCTGTGTCCTCATATGGGCAATTTAGGTTTTGAGATCCATGCACCATATAATTCATTCTGCTCAACTTAGACCTATTGTCCTCATTAGTGGGCACATGCCTGTGCCCTCAAGGGTCACTTGCCAGCCATGTTCTGATGTCTGTTTCCTCTTTGTTACACATTGGGTAGAAATACTCATGTTTTTCTAAACGTACGCCCTGTTCAAAGACAATGCTACTAATATAAATACACACAGAATCAAAGCCCAGGTCTTGGTAGGTTTGGGAAGCATTTTTTCATGAAAGGAGAAGAGTGGATTTGTCCCTAATTTCTAACAATTTGGCCAAGACTATGAAGGGGATGCTAATAGCCAACAATAACCTTTTCACTGTACACATCATTTTTTGATAGACTACAAAAAAACACAAACCTATCCTGTCATCTCTTTAAACCTGTCAGTTGCTGTAAGAGGCATTCCCATAGTACATTTCATTACATTACATTTACATTTCATTTTACTTGTCGTGGAATTTGACATTTCTGTGAGTACACTGAGTACTTTCATTGCAGGTTTTGAAGACGTCAGTCATCCGTTAGCAGGTTCACTGGGAGGCCACGAAGGGTCGGATGGCATCCCATGTGTATCTCGTGTTGTTCCTAGATTGACAATCAAAATAATTATTATTATGCAAATATTTTTTCAGCACATCAAGCCATAAAGTGTAACATTTCTACCAATGTAATTCTAAAATAATAATAATTTTGATGGCAATAACAACAAATCCATCCAGCTGCAACTACTAAAAGACAAGTCAAATTTAAACAAACACAGTGACTGGGTGAGAACTAGAAGCTAACTATAACCTTAAACATGACAATAGAAGAGATTTGGAAGCCAGTGCAGTAGTGCTGGACCCAAATTCTCTCAAGTTTTTACTAGCAGTTAAATTTTACCTGTAACTTATAACTGACCCGAAGAAATAGAAATTATAACAATCGGTAAATATGATAAAAGACTATTCATATATAAACTTGTATTTCAAAAATACAAATGTATCAAAACTAAAAAGAAATTTGGTTATGTGTGTAGCGGTGCTGTACACATAGGCCTACAGTAGGATGGCAGAACTTGCCCTATGCATGTATGCCAAGCTGTTTGTGTGAGTAGGCTACACAATTCATCTTATGAATGATGTTTTGTGTAGTACTTGTTTGTTGCACATTTTAATGCCTTGATAAAAGGGGTAGGGGGCTCCCTCTTGACGCACTGTGGCTCAAGGCCAGCCATATTCACCGTCTTTATGGATGATAGCTTTCCGTCCAGAGGCAAAATAGAGAAAAACATCTCTAGCCCTTTCCTTAGTTTCAGGTAGCCAAAGCTAAGCCTAGTGGTGGACAGTATTAAAGTAGTACTGTACTTAAGTACACAAGGTATTTGTACTGAATGTTTTTATTGTATTTTCTTTTCATGCCACTTTCTACTTTCTACACATCTCAAAGGGAAATATTGTATGATTAATACATAATAATACAAAATAGTTTAACCTCAACCAACTACATTAATGCACGAAGAAGAATAATCTAATGATACCATATAATAGTTACAGTCATATGGGACATTTTCCTTTCTGCTTATAGGCTATTTTTATTTTTAATAGGCTACTTCTATATTCTCCTGCTTATAGCCTACTTACATACTTTTATTTAACTTTTTCAATACAGTACTTGCAGAGTATTTTTACAGTGATGTACTGGTACTTTTATTTTTTAAAGGATCTGAATAGGCCAACGCTGCAGGTTGCAAAGAGGTTGCAGAGTTTTTGACTGCATTTTCCAATAATAATTTAGCACGCATTTGGTTACACTCCCCAACATCAGCCGCTCTCACTATCTTTGATTGTCCAGGAATCGTAAAATCAAAACGGTAAAAAAATAAAATACATCGGGTCTTGTACTTCCAACTTCCACCCTGTGTGTGCACAACACATTTTAATTTCTGATCGACTTAACAGCTCTGGCATTTAGTAGGCTACAGAGAAAGCTATGAACTTGGCACAAAAATGATCGTCCATTAATTGAATATAGAGAAGTCATCTCTTAACCTGATGATCTGTCATCACACACGACTGGTTGCATGCAGGTGGCCGAGCAGTGTGAAGAGAAAATGCCCAGCACAAAGTGAGAACGAGACAGAGAAAAGCCGGGAGGAAAGTGCCCTTAAATGCTGTAAAATTACAGATATCTTTATGATTAACTTACTTATCAGCGTGAGAAATACAAGGTGTGGCGTGTGAGCGTGTGAACTGGCTGAAATGCCTGTGTCACACGGTGAATGCGTGAGACTTGAGAGCCCTGTAACGTTATAGGACTAAAGTAACGTTAACGAAGTTACAGCAGTTCAGTGCAAAGTGCCAGCTAACTTCAAGTAATATTAACGTTAACCTTTCTGTTCTTACTGCGTGTGAAAACAGAACTTTTTCACTTACCAGACCAAAGGCATGTAACAAGGAGCTGCCCCAGATGAAAACTCATAAGTGTTGACGACTGTCTGGAAGGTTTCAGCCACTGGTGATACGTTACGTTAGCTTACATTAGCTAACACTTGCTAACGTAAGCTAACGTAAGGAATACGGCAAACTGACTCCACATTCAATTCAGTTCAATTCAAATTAGCTTTATTGGCATGAATATAACATATAATATATATTGTTGTAACAACAATATTGCCAAAGCATCATACATACAACATAAGAACAACCAACCCCACATTTCATTAAACAAGTAATTAAAGCGTAAAGTAATCAAAACGTGTATGTTTGTTGTGTTAAAAATAAAATAAAATAAATAAAACAGTAAGCCTGTGTTTGTGTGAAAAAAAAATATATATTAAAAATAAAATAAACAAAACAGTAAGCATAATAAGTAAGTACAATAATCAGTGTCAAATGTAAAAACAAAACAATTACCATCCAATCCAAAATGACTTACAATTGCTATATATGTTAAAGGTGGCACACCTCTGGAACAACTAGGAGTTAATTGATGGATGTGTCACAGTTGAAATCAAACTCAGGTCTCTCACACCAAAGGCATGTCTTATCCACTGCTCCAACACCAGTAAGTATGCTCATTACTGTATGTAGACTTATTTAGCAAGTTTAGCTTTTGGGTGTATTTTTTTCAAAATCTTACTCTACTTGTTGTTCACAGATATGGTAGTAATCTACCGAAATTATGTGGAATTGCATATTTCTTTATTGGAAAATTGTAACATTATACACCCTGCGAAAGCATGTTTTAATCCCCACGGACATTATTTTTATTATTTGTAAATGTACCTGCTTTGCACCTGCCTCTGTTCTCCCTGCACTCACACAC